TCAGACCTAGGCCTATATTTGTTGATACCTAAAAGTATTTTGAAGGGCAGTTTTTAAAAATCCCATCATCCTCTTGGCAGGCAACAAGAAGATTCTGCATATTATTATATGCAGTTTTCTTTGTGGTTCTTCATGAAATCGATCTGAGATGCAAGACACCTTGACTCAATGGTATCCAAGGGGAGCCAAGTATTTTGAGAGCTATTAAAGACATTGTTCTAATGATGAGGCATATAATGTGATTTAGTGCAGCCAAAGCCAAGGTATCCATCAGATATAAAGAATCCCAGGAAAAAGGAAAGAAAGAAAACCAATGTGACAGCTACTGAAGTATTTAAGGTAAGGTTTTAAATATGTATATATATGTATGTGTATATACAAACACATATATATGTATATTGCAAAAATTCCATTCCCTTTAATAAGAGCATATATAAATGGAGAATACAATTTCTCTTCAGCCTAAAACTTGTTAACTAGTTTCCACAATTGCTTGTTCAATGTGGTAAAATTAACTACCACTTAGAGAGTAATTCACATAGTAAGTTACCAATAAACATTATTTGTTATGTTTTGGATTTGGAGTGGAAGCAGCTTTGCATGAAGTTAAGAACTGTTTAGGAATAAGACACCTGAGCTGAAGGCTTGTTTCTTGCACTAAATGGCCAACTGATTCCAGCAAGTTATTTAGGGTGATCAGCAAAGCGGGACAATGAGTACTCAGCTCTGATACATTTTGAAAATAAAAAAAGAAAGAAATTCCAAATTTCATGTTTAATGTGTGTAAATTCCTTACATGTATTCTGGTATGTGCATACATTGGATCTATAAAAATGTTATGTATTAGAAACTGTGCGGGTAAGGGAAGTGCCACTTAGCTAGCCAGTTGTTATTGATTGAGTACTTAAAATGAAGGAGACCTTGGGGAAAGAACAGATGAATAGGGAGACAAGGGCCTTATCCACACGTAGCAAGAAAGTTTCAAATAAAATCAGTGAAGGCTGAAATATATGCTAAGAAGGAATTAAGAAGGGGTGACTGAAAATATGACAGTCATTTCTTCTTGGATAGGGTGTCAGGAAAAAAAATCACTCTGAAAAGGTCTATTTTAAAATTTGAAGGAAATGCAGTGTCACGTGAAATGATGGTGATGGGCAATCCCTGCAGGTCCATGGCATATGCACAGGTTATGGGTTGAAAAGGTCTTGGTATCCTGAAAGAAGGGATTGCCCAGCCTGGCTGGAACATATGGGGGAGGATGGACAACACTGCCAAGGATTACTGAGGAACTGGACAGACCTAGTAAGGAGTTTGCATTTCACACCACTTGCAAGGTTAAGTCAGTGAAGGGATATACATCATGGCAGGGAATGGCCTTTTCTATGCCTTGTAAAGACCCACTTTTGTTATTTTGTTTATCAAGACATTTATACTGTTTTTGATCATAAACATTAATCATCATGTGTGGGTTATTCCAAAATGTTCAAACGTTCATATTATCTTTTTTTTTTTCCTGATGACCTCTTTCTTTCCTGTGTTTCTATCAGTCTTTGTCTTTCAACACAGATATTTATGCATATTTACAATGGTTTACATATATAATTTCTACAGATGTGATTGCTAATGAAATAAGAACAAGGCTATTTTTTTACCTATTCACAGTAAATTATTTCGTAGTCACATTTGGGTACTTTTACTCCACTTTGGGGAAGTCTACTGGGGAGAAAAGATAGAACAGAGATCAATGGGTAGTTAAAACAAGAAGGAGACTATTGTGCTAGACCAGAAAAAAATTAGGATGCCTGATACAATGGTGGAATATTTTATATAGATACAAAATGACTCCTGATCTATGTTCTCCACCAACTGTTGATAATACCCATATTTTTAATAAATAGTATGTAGCACTATAGCACTGTCCTCTGCACCTGTAACATCTCCATTGTGAGACTTGTTGTTACTGGTTTTGGCATATAGAATACTGAACGGGAGCTTGCCAGGCTCTGCCATGAGGGTGGGATACTCTCAGTAGCTTGCCGAGCTCTTCGAGAGGGATGGACGACTCAAACCCGGGTCAGCTGTGAGCAAGACAAATGCCCTACCCACTGTGCTTAACACTCCAATTTAAAATATTGAATAAAATTTTTATGTTATTCAAAAATAAATCATATGTTCTTAATTTATCACATTAATAAGACTTACTGTTTTTTTTTGTTGGTTTGTTGGATTGGATAAAATCATGCATTTTTGAAAGTTTCTGGCCTCATCAATGGACAGTAAATCTTTCATTTTAGAGGGATTGTTGAGGACTGGCGAGCTCATACAGTGAATAGCATCCTTATTTTTGCATGGGTCTCTTTTCTTTCATGCTGCTGTTCCAGGTTCAATGCCTCAGCAACTCATTTGGCCCCTGGAGACTCTTTAGGGAACGTTTCCTGAACACAAAGTCAGGGGTAAGCCCTAGGTACTGCTGTGTTTGGCCATAAACAAAGTAGTAGTAGTGACAACAACAACAACAATAATAAATGACATAACATTATTATAGATGTGCTTTAGAAGATATGCATTGCAAACATTTTAAGAGGACAAAAAAATCACCCCTACTTGAACTAATTTGAAGGAAGAAATATGAAACCAAAACCATGGAAAATCTTGATATCACAAAAAAATTACAGTCCCTTAATCTCTCCTCTACAGTTTGCCATTTCCTGTTCTTTATTCAGATGAAAGAATGAAAATAATTTGGGGTTGAGATGCTCTAATCTGCCTTCCTCTCTTATAGGAATTCTCCAAGAATATGTCTTTCAGCTGGCAATATCCTATTCTGGATAAAGAATTATTATTTCAGTGCAGGGTATAAAATGAAGGCATTAAGCAAATGATCCTGAAAAGATTAGTAACCTTTATGATGAGCTGAAATCAGTCTCCTCTCCCCTGTTGAGTAGGCAAACTATGCAGACAAATTTTCTTTCTTAAGAGGACCCACACTTGGGTATTTAAAGTTGCTTTTGAAGGGTCAGGAGGATAGGATAGCAGGTGGGTGTTTGACTTGAAAGCAGCTCAAGTGGGTTCCATTGCTACCATCCTATACGTTCACCCAGGCCTGCCCAGAATGATCCCTAAGCAGAGAGTGAGGAGTAAGCACTGAGCATTGCCAGGTGTGGTCCTCCAAACCAAAAATAAAATAAAATTGCCTTTAATAGAAAGGCTATGTCTTTTTTAATGGCATACTGGACACTCTTTTGTTTTTCACTCAGTTCAGATTTGAAAAATCTTACCCCAGCAATAATTTTTATATTGACTTGTGAAAAAGGCAATATTTTTAACAACTTTGAATTGGATTTATGTAAGTGAAAACTATCTTGGATAACATAAAAAAGAATTTAATGAATGAATAATTATGATCACTGTTACTTTAAAGTTGTTTCCATAATACATTTTGATTTTATAGTAAGATCACCTTTGCAAGCGTGAAAGTGAGCAAATTATAATTGGAATTACATATAATTTTTCTTTGCATTTATTTATTCAATCAGTAAAAATCTCATGAATACTAGTTACTCTAGGATAAGTTACAGTTCTAGGTACACAAAGACTAGAGAGATATTTGAAGATGTGTCAAACCTTAGAAGTAAATTTTCTATTTGAAGAAGGCTTGGATTTGGAGAAATTCTTTGTAATTTTCAAAGCCTGTTCACAACCATAAATTTTTTTTTGAACTTTTGAACAGCAGTCTGGGAGTTGGGTTGGGTAGACATTATAATCATACAATTACGGAATTTTAGGAGTGGGAAAGATTTTTAAAGGTCACCTAACGCCACCATTTAATTTCAAAGCGGAGGCGGGTCCTCAGATTGCTATTTGTCTGACAACCCTCCGCCAAGCAGTGGGTGAGTGAGCAACCAGCACAAACCTGAGGGTGCTCCTGAGAGTCGCACCACGAGCGTTCCGAGCTCTGGGCTGGGCACGGCCAGCAGAGAGCCTAGACGAGCCGATGCTTTTTCTCGCAGCTCTTTTGACCTACAGGCAGATAACAGACTCACGAGTATGTGTTGAGTTAGCAACGGACAGATTTCCTACCATGTAGGGCACCGTGTCCACCAGGGAGGAGGAAACGGCAGACACGTTTCTGCCCATCTCTTTACAAGTTGCTCCCGATCTGGTCTTCGGGTCCGCAATGAGTTTGTGGTCTCTGGGGAAAGCCGAGACACTTTGCACCCGAAACGCCAGCGAACTGAGTTCAAATACAGTTGCACTTCAAATACAGAGAAGGCGCCTAGGGGACCAGTGATGGGAAACACCCCTCCCTAAATGCATGCACGCACACACACACAGAGAGAGACACAGACGCACACACACATAGAGGGACACAGACACACACACACACAAACACACACACACACACTCCATTTAATTACATCATTCTCCGCTGTTGTCTTTCCGGACGCACGCACACGCGCACACACACACACACACACACACACACACACACACACACACACACAGACACACACACGCGCGCGCGCGCGCACACACACACACACACACACACACGAGGGAGATTCTCCTCGGGCTAAGATCGAGATGCCAACTCCGGGAGACTAAGGGCGCAGAGACCAGCCCTCGAGCTGCCCAAACTGCCAGAGCCGGGCTGGTGTGTCGCTGGTGTGTGCGGGGTGCAGCGCAGGAAACCACCGTTGGCCGGCAGGGACCAGCCGCCGGGGAATCGGAAGTCCCCGACCCAGTGACCGCCGGGGCCGGCGGCTCGGAGCTGGCCGCCCCCGCCCGCCCGGGAGGGGCGCGCGCGGGTTCGGCGGCGGCTCGGCCGGGCCCGGGGGGGAGGGTCGGCGGCGCAGAGCGGCCGCCCCGGAGCGGGACGCGGCGGCCCGAGCCCCGGCAGCGCCCGCCCTCCCGCCCGCGCCCGCGCCCGCTCCGCCCGCGCTGCCACTCGGGCTCCACCCCCGCGCGGCGGCGCTTCGCTCGGCACCGGCCCCGCGCCGCCACCTGCCCCGCGCCGCGGCCCAACTTGGATGGAGTTGGGGTCCTGAGCGCCCCCCGACCGCCGGCCCGCCTCCGCTCCGGGACCCTCCCCCCCGCCCCCTGGCCGCTCGTCTCGGCTCCGGCGATGGGAAAAGTTGGCGCCGCCGGCGGCCCCCCTGCCCGGCTGAGCGCGCTCCTGGCCGGCGCGGGGCTCCTGGTGCTCTGCGCCCCGGGCCACGGCGGCCGCGCTCCGGGCTGCCCCCCGCCGCGCCCCGGCCCCGGCCCGCGCGGGGCTCCGACCCCCGGGGTCTTCTTCCCGCCGGGCCCTCGCGGCGGAGCCCCTGCCACGCCCCTGCCCCTCCTCGGGCGCCCCCTGTTCGCGGTGGCCCCCGGAGACCGAGCGCTGTCCCTGGAGCGGGCCCGGGGCCCCCGGGCATCCCCGGCGCCGACCCCGCGCTCCGGTCGGAGGAGACGCAGCCCCGATGATCCGGACCAGGCAGCCGGGGCAGAGGGTGCGAGTCGCAGCCCCCGGGGAGTGCCGCGGGACGGCGGGCAGCGGGAGCCCGGGACTCCGGAACGGGACCCGGACAAAGCCACTCGGTTCCGGATGGAGGAGCTGAGACTGACCAGCACCACGTTCGCGCTGACCGGCGATTCCGCGCACAACCAAGCCATGGTCCACTGGTCTGGCCACAACAGCAGTGTGAGTAGGATGGGACCGCGGGCCAGAGGGGCAGCTGCAAAGGGTTAAAGTCGCTTGAGTGATCTGCTAAGAGAATTTGGCGACATGGGGATTCTGGACTCCAAAAATGATGCTGAACACCGAAGTGTTTCCCGCACACCTCCCGCGGGAGTTAATGTTCCCTACCAGGAGGTTGAGGTCCTGGACCTGCCGGCCCCTCCCCAGCATCACGAGTCCACTCCAAACCCTGAGCCAAGCTCCAAACCCGAAGGGCATATCCCTAGTTCCTGTTTCACCCGTAGCACGGTGCAGGATGTAGCTGAAGATCAGATAAAGGGGAGGAGGAGGGTGGGAGTTTTGAGGTTGAGTGTTTAGAGTGTGGGGGTGAAGGGGTTAAATTTCCAAGCGGGCTGACATTCCCTCAAGTGACTTTCCCTTTACTTGCTAGACTTATGGATAAACCCAAGTAAGATCAAGAAGACTTTACATTGGACTCTTATGCAGAACTCCCAACCCTTTCTTCCCCACAAGGGAAGGGAAGCGCGGCGGATGCTAAGGTGCCCTTAATGTAGAAGGACTTTCTGGAAACCAAGTGAATGTGAGTTCCAGGAGAGGAAGAACTCTCCCCGGGAATCTTCTAACAGCATCAACCAGTGTGTCTGGAGAGCTGGGGCTTCCCAGCCTGTGAATGAGTGGTTGTTCTCTGGCATCTTCAGTGCCAGGCTGCTCAGATATAACACAGTGACAACTCCCAGTTCGGCCACATTGCTGAGCCCCTCCAGTCTGTGCCACTCACACAGAGGACCCAGTCCTGCCTTGATGTAGGAAGAGAAGAGGATTGAAGTAGTATAGAAGGATGACTCGTGTGTGTGTGTGTGTGTGTGTGTGTATGTGTGTGTGTAGGGGGTGGCTGGGGACCGCAGTTCATGGGCTTCAGGATCTGTCAGGTAAGGTTTTCTAAAAATTCTGGGGAAAGCTTCCCTGTTTGGAATCTGAAGCAGCGTTTCCAATTTAAAAGGCACCCGGGAACTTCAGTGAGCCAAACTAGTAAAGATTACGTTTACGTTTTGATGGCAATAACTGAGAACGATTTTCAAACTATGGAAACTTCTCCAAGCTGCTAGTAAGCAGGCAAGACTATAAAACCCAGGATGGGTAAAATGAAGGAAGATTTTGAAACAAGTTTCCATGTCCATCACTGGATGGAGATGGTACTGTGTGTAACAAACTCACTCTAGGCAGCCTTTCAAAATGTTTTCAGTTGCAATTGCCAGAAACCTTCCCAGCAAGTGCCACAGGAATGAGATGTGCTCATTTTCAGCTTTTTAATAGAAGTTGTGTACATTTTCAGATATTAGTCTGTCGTCACTGATTCCTTGGAGATATATATATATATGTATATATATATAAACATAATAAGACAAATCATGATCAATAGTATTTTGTTTTGCTGACTTTATCTTGAGAGTAACAGAAGGATTTTCCCCACATTTCAGCCTTGATGACAGAAACTTTGGTTTTATGATTCTCATGACTGTTTTACTCCAATAATTGGAGCTAAAATTCTTTCAAGTTCTAGAGACGCTTGCCCTCAATCCTTACCTTAACTATCATATCTTTCGTATTATACCCATGAAAATTAATCTTCCCAGTTTGAACTTGTATCTTCTTAAACCAATTAAATAACATCCGCACTACTTTAAGTAATTAACTCAAAGCATCTGACTTTAAGGGAAGAATTTAAATAGATCAAACATATTAGATCTTGTATCAAGAAGTAAAGGCCTTTGGACTCAAACTATTTTTAGCTTTTAATGTAATTCAAGCTGTAAAATATTACTCACCAAATAGACCTCTGCTTTAGTTCATCTCTTGAGAGATCTTGGAAAGAGCGAGAAAAGAAGAGTACATCTTTGGCAAATTTTAAACTCCATTTAAGAAATGGCGCCAAGCACTGCCAGCCGTTTTTGTAACGGTGCATATAAACCCCATAAGGCTTATTGGGGTCAAGACCGGATGGGTATCACGCAAGGAAATCTGAGACACTGTAGGTGATAATCGAGTTCATTTTCAAATCCTGAACTTTGAAATTACATCAACCAATGAAATTTCTTATCTCTGATGTCTCTTCTATACACTCCAACTTTCAGTATTACCCAATGACAAGGATTTTTTTGAAGTATATACATTGTAGGTGGTAGAAGGAGAAAAATTGTCTAAATCAGGGCCATCTGATACAAAGCTGGCAAGGATTCATAGGAAAGACAAAGTTTTTTATAAAATGTCTATGTGTGTATTTTGCAGTGCTGCTGATCAAGGCCAGAGACTCACACATGCAAGGCAAGAGCTTTTCCACTGATCTATAGCCCCCTAGGAACTATTTTTTAAATTTTATTTCATTTTCTATTGAGGGTTAGGCACTGCACCCAGCAGGGCCCAGCATTTAGTCTTAACTCAGTGCTCAAGGGTCACTTTTGGCTTGCTTGGGATCCTGTGGAGCCTGGGGGCCTGGGATCAAACTGGGGTCAGCTGCATGCAAGTCAAGTGACTTAACCTCTATATTATCTCTCCAGTTCCGCTCAAGTATTTTTCAAAGGGACGGAAGTAGAAAAAGATATTATTTCAGACAACTTTGTGACTTGGAAATTACAGAGTAGACTCAATATTTCGCTTTATTTATTTGTGCTTTCATCTTGACAAGTTGATTTCTCTCTTGAGTTTGAATTTTCTCATCCTCCCTCACCCCCCAAAGACAGGGCCCAGGTCTGTGAGATTGATTACAGAGAATGGTATGCTGGGATATCCTTAAAGAGTAACTTGTGATTGTAGAATATCATAAACTTCTTTGGAGCTATTGCTTTTCCCCCAGGGAAAACTCCTGATTTAAATAAGATGCAGGGCTCTCCTGTTGACATTTGGATGTCTTCACCCCATCTTGCAGTCACAGATTTATTCTTTCAGGGCCACAGGTAAGTACATATCCTCTGAACCTGTCACTCCTTCAGCTAAAAGCCTTCACTAAGGCTTAGATTACAATAACACCAGCATTAAAGGTGTAAATGTATGATAATTGTAGGCTGCCTGTCAAACGGAAGAGTTCTGGATGGTTCTTGCAACATCTTCCCTTTCCCCTGCCCCCTCCACTGGTTGGACTTACACAGCTGTATAAAGACATGACTGTTTTGTTTTATTCGTGGGTGTGATCTGATTCCTCGCTACTTCGGTCTAGCTTGATGGAAACTGTTGCTAGAGTTGGTGGAACACCTGGGGGGGAACTTTTGGCATGAAAGGTGCTGGGTATGAATCATTTGTCATGAGCTTCGTGTCTTAAGCAAGAACATATTGTTCCTACCCTACTCATCTGAAGCATGCTGTGCTTTGATCTAAATTTATATAGTAATCCTGAGTTTGTTAAAATATATATTTATCTATATAGGCATGTGTGATGGGGCATGTGTTTATTTCTTATTTCCAAGGAATTTCAAAATGCTAACACTCATTAATCCTTATAAAATCCTCTTGGGTAATAGGTAGGTGGTAACTGTAAATATCTCTCTTTTTCATATTTTTGTGCTGGAGTTGAATTTTAATATTTCAACTCACCACCTTGTCCCTTTCATACTTGAAATAGTCTTAGAAGATGTGTTAATAGAAGCTTTAACTTGATGTACTGTGCCATTATGATATTTTTAATATTGCATTTATCATGGAGCATGATACTATGATTATTTTTCATGTGTTTCTGTGACTTCATTTGTCCTAGGACTTGAAGTTTTCTATTCAGTCATAGTAAGTATAAACTGGGTACCAACCTGGAAATGTTTCAGCTATATGTATGCCTGGCATTAATGATCTGGCATCATTTTCCTAAAAAGAACAGGACTGCATATTATTGCTTCTGTTTAACAGAGGAGGAAACTGAGGCTCCAAAAAGGCAGAATGACTTACTATTATGAAGCTACAGAAGTTCACTGTTAAAGCTGGGTCTGATTTCCAGGGTGATCAGTTCCAGCTTTAACCCTGAACTTCAAAATTTCCTGAAATGGCGTGTCATAGGCCTACAGACATACAATTCTAGGTTGGACATAGAAACTTATATCTTCCTATTTTGGGGGTGGATTTCAGATTTGATGGAGGAAGGCAGAGTCTTAAATGCAGTTCCATTTCCTTATAGAGAAGCAAGGCTTTCACTTGTACCTGTCACCATGCCTTCAGTAATGATTTGGTTGTTCTCTCCGTCAGCCTCCTCCTCATCTTTCCTGAGACATGGAATCTGCACCTGGTGATTCATTGAGCACAAAGTATCATTCAGCTCCCAGAGCTTGTATTCTTCTGGAGTAGATCCCTTTTCTCAGCTATTAACAAATCTGATTTCATAGAGAGAGGTTGAACATATACTCTTGACATAAAATCTTGACATTGGGATTTTTCTCTATTGGATATGACTTTTTAAAAGTTGAATGATGAAAGATTTAATTTTTTTTTGTCATGTCCACGTAACTCCTCTGATTAGCACTGCTAGTGGGTGAGTGTTAACTCTGTATGGCATGGAAAGCAGTAGACTTGGAGGTGGAGAATATTAGCTGTCCTACTGAATAGCACTTTATAGAGAGCAGGACCCTTGAGTTCTTTGAGCTACCATTTTCTCAACTGAATTCTAGGGATAGTATGACTTTTGGAGAATTTTTCCTGAAAATTTCACATTATTTGTAGCAAGTGTTTTGCACAGCTGGTGCTCAATAAATTCAATATCTTATTTTAGCTGGAGAAGTGTCACTCACTAATTAAGCATTTAGGGTTAAGGTTCCCACTCTGCACAAAAATTACATGCTTTGTCGTAGCCTGTTAAAAGTTTCTGGCCTTCGTTTCATCCTCTGGAAAATGACAACAAGCAAGTAGAACATCACTAAAATCCCTCATTGACTGAAATTAATGTCTTAGCTTTTCTAACGTGGGTATGATGTCCATACCATATTTAATTTAAGTAAATTGGGAGTGATGGGGTGCAGAAAAGATGCCAG